TAAAACAATAAAGACGTGTATTCATTTGAAGAAGCTGCTTTCTTTTATTTATTTATTTTTATTTTTAGAGAGGGAAGGGAGGGAGAAAGAGAGAGAGAGAAACATCAATGTGCGGTTGCTGGGGGTCATGGCCTGCAACCCAGGCATGTACCCTGACTGGGAATCGAACCTACAATGCTTTGATTTGCAGCCCACGCTCAATCCACTGAGCTAGGCCAGCCAGGCCTTTGAAGAAGCTGCTTTCTAAACCTTTCTCCGCAGTTGCCTGCCTTCCTGGTGCGGGAGTGAGGCCACGGCTTGCTCCCTTTACCCCTTTCAGCCTCCGTGCCTGCAGGCATCCTGCTCAGAGAGCCCCTGCAGGCCCATGAGAGATGGGCGAGGACGGTGCCCACGACGCCTCTGCCCTCACCCTTTGCTCATCCCCAGAAACCAGCCAAGTGTCTCCAAAGGGACCGGGCGTCATGCTGTTTGAGGCCTTACAGGCATCCAGTAGCGGCTGTTCCAGCTGACCGTTCTTTTCCTTCACTTGGGTGATCCCCGTGAGCTGATTCTCGTCTGCTGGTGGCTGCTTGTGCTGGTGTGTGCTGGTGTGTGCTGATGTGTGTGTGCGTGGGGGGTGTCGCTGGCTTCGTTGGGGTTTTGCTACACTGTCAACGTGCATCTCTTCATTCAGGACAGTGTCAATTTGACACCGATGCAACCTTGATTACGTGGTTTACAAAACAAAAAGCATTGGAAATATTGCCTAGCACGCATAGTTGTAACTGGTGTGCACCATGGCAATGTAAGAAGGCTGACATTTTTGCTCAGGTAGAATTTCACCTCCACAGCGATGTTCCTGGTCGTCTTGGATGAATTTACAGCAACAAACGAATCACTTTTCCCTAAAAAGAACATCTGTTTCAGGCTCTTTGTGCCAAACAACGGAACTCCCGATAGCTAGGAATGTGCAGACCCTTAGTGAGGGTTGAGTTACCTGCACTCCAGGCAAATATCTAGGGATGACATTGAAATGACCTTGCAAGCCTGCTGCTAGCTGCTAGGATCTCAGCACCGCTGGGCCTGAGTCATGGGCCTCCCACGAGGACCTCTCTTCCTGCTGCTTCAGGAAACTCAAGCTCCCTCTGCCAGGCCGCCTTCATCACAGGAGTGGGTTCCCTCTGGCCTCTGGCACCTCCCCTGTGTGTGCCCTTGGGTCAAAGATTCCCACTGGTGAATCGGATTGGCTGGACCTGGAGCCACACGCCTGCATCCTAGCTTAAAGGAGGCCAAGAAGTTGAGTTCTGACTTACAGAATGGAAGGTAACACTCACGACCGGGAAGCATTTCCCCAAATATAGAGAAAAGTATCTGAGTGATGTTAGGTGATCACAAATACGTAAGATGCCCACTCACTGGTCCTTTTACAAGCAGCATCTGCGTGAGGAGGCTGCCCAAGGCATACACGAGGTTCTGAGCAAATCCTTGCCGAATGAATCACGCTAGGAGACGTACATCTTGATTCGAAAATATGCTTCGACTGCTCCTCATAACAAGTTCTGACTCATTCTCAACGTCAAAATGGCAATCGCACTTCGCAGAATGTAGGTGAGGTCCTGGACAGTTCCTTCGGGGTTGCAAAGAGAAAAATCCAGTGTCAGAATCTGGAGTCACAGCGCCACCTGGTGGAAGAAGGAAGCGCTGCTCGGGTGATAAGTCCAGGTGATTACAATTGTAGTACCAGATCAGGCGCGCAAAAAAAGTGAATGGAAATACCCTGTGGACTATGGACTTTTGTACATTGTTACCGAATGAATTCATCAACAGCTGTATTGTATTATATATTGCTGTGTTAATCCCTAAACACACAGTCTCTCATTCCTTCGTGCATTTATTATTTCTTAGCTAATATTTGTCAAGCATCTACCTTCCTATTGGGGCTGCAATGACAGAGACGATGAAACAGGTGTATTTCCCTTGGTGCTCCCAGTATAACAGGGCGACAGAGTTCCCAATGCGTTAGGGAGGGCTTTAAGGATGTTAAAAGTGGGGCTGCTGCTGTTTTGGGGGTGGTGAATGGGTTTAAGAAAAGCTTTGTTGATGGAGACACATACAGGCTGAGTGCTGAGAATGCAGAAAATGTGTCCGAGTGAATAACAGGAGGACGGACACCGAGGGCAGCTGCAGAGCAAGTGCCAAGGCCCTGGGGCGGCGGGGAGCAGGCCGCACCCGCGGACCAGAGCACAGTGAACCAGGGAAAACATGGTGTGAAACAAGGCCGGGGAGAAAGGCTAGACTTCGGTGAGGGGATCCGAACTGTACCCACGTGCCATGGGAAGACAGTGAAGAATTTCAAATGGGGCCACGACAAAACCACTTACAAACTCGTGGAACTACATACAAACTGGCACTGTTTTCCACTACCCAGCACAATATGACTCTTAAGAGCTATGGGGGAGACAGGAAGGCACATACACTGTACGGCAAGGCCAGAATTTAAAGACAGAAGAGATTAACAGTAAGTGGGCAAGGCTTTTGAGGACGGAGTGCACCTTGAGTTGTGAAGGCACCCAGAGGAAATTCTGGTGGTCCTGAACAACACGGGTGAGAGCAACCCACCCAGGGAGGGAATCTTTCGGTGACAGACTCCCTGATTGGCTTCCGTTGGAGAGCCCCCTATTTGCATAGGGGACACCTAGGGGGATGCCTCCCCAACATTTTATTTAGGAATGAGAAATTTGGTCGTAAGAACATTCCAGAAGGCGTGCCCCTGGAGAGGGTTATTAGAGGTCACAGAGTGGTGGGTGGTCCGCGTGCTCCAACTGCTTGGTAGACAGAGTAGGTTTAGAATATATTCAACACTGAATGTGAATGGTTTCAAAACCACAAGACCAAAAAAAAAAACAAAAAAAAACTAAGTCCAGATGACTGGCTTCTGGGGAAAGGGGAAAAGGGGGAAGTTTTAGTGGTTTTGGGGGCCCCTTTCCTTGTGGAAACAATGGACTGGAGGGGAGGAGCTGGGGCAGCGCCCCCCCCAGCCATCTCTCCCTTCTCGCCTGGTCCCCCCCGCAGGCAGGGGAATCTGCTCCTCCCCTCCCCTCCCCTCCCCTCCCCTCAGTGGGAGGCGTGGAGGATGGGGGAGTAAGGGTAATTATCTCCAGTGTCACCTCTTGCCCTTTCTTCCTTCTCTGCTTTTAAAATTCCAGTTCTTTAAATACACCCTGATCATCTATCTTGATTATGCAAAACGGTAGGGAGGAACTCTCAGAGGCAGCACCGGGCCCTGCCCACCCTTCCACTGCCTGTTCCTTTCCACCCTTTGATCAAGTCTCAGCGGAACCACGATTTCATCCCGGAGGAATTGGAGATTTATTTAAATCCCTTAAGATTTGTTCCTATCGCAAGTGAAACTGTGTTTCTTTTTCCTTTAAGTCAGAGATTTCAAATTGTCCTTTTAAGGCATATTTATTCTGCGTTTTTAAAAAAATCATTAAGAAACTCGTGTTGATATTTTGGCAGATTTACCAAGCGGCCTCAGGCTGGGTCTGGGGACACTATCACGGTCCTTGAGCGCCACCTGCAGGTACCCTGAACTCTTACAACCAGGATTCTCGCACAGAGGCGTCAGGTTTTGGTGGGAACTCAGGCTGTGAAATCCTGCCCTGAGCTTATTACCGCTTTGTGACAGAATCAAAATTAAGCTGGGACATGTCTGGACATTTTGTAGTTAACATGTCACTTCAGACAGGGTTTTTGTTCCCTTCAATTTTCCAATCAACATACCACTTGATCCCTTGTATCTTCACAGTTTTCATGCTGGTAGAGAGTCTTATATTACTATTGTATGTGTTCTTGTTATAGCTGCTAACATACTGGTAACACATACCTCCTATCATACGGTATAATTCACTTTGATGTTTTGCCTGTGGTCTGTTCCCACCACTGGAATATAAGCTGCACGAACACAAGGAATTTTGTCTTTTTTCTTTTTTTTTAAGGTGTTGTAGTCCCACTGCCCTTTACTCCAGCCCCGCACAGCTCTGCCTCCCCAGGACCCCTCAGCAGTTGTCCCAGGGCTGCGGGGTCGGGCGCTACGACTCGTGGTGATACAGGTGTACCGACAGTATTGGTGCTCGCTGCCAGGCACCTGGTCTAATTCATCTTTCTCTTTGCAGTGGCATCTAGCATGGTACAGATTTCAGACAAATCACACACGAGTTCCTACACCTGGAAGGCCCAATGGGTAAGCTCAGAATGAGGCAGGTGGTGAGCCGCCTGGGCCCTGCAGAGGGTATGTTTGGTGAGTGGGCCCATGCCCGATCGGCCCCTGCAGCTGCTATTCCGCAAAAATGCAGGCTCAAGGCCACCAGGACTTGGATTTTACAAGCTCAAGCAAAGCAAATATATTGTTTTGATATTTTCGAGTGAAATCTAATTTTCATATGTTGGTTCAATTAAAGAACATACTAGGTGGGTAAACACACACACACACACACACACACACACACACACACACACACCCCTACACAACACCATGTGTTACTCCAACGTTCCCCCGCCCTCCCCCCGCCCCCTTCGCTGGGGATAGTATTTTCAAGTAATTTGGTGAGTTTCCTTCCTGGCCAGCAATCTCCAATTTGTCCCCCCTTCTTCTTTCTTTTGGTCTCAGGGATTCTGAGACCAAAAAAAAAAAAAAGTAATTGGAACGCACGAATGGCAGAGTATACAGTTATCACTCAATAATGTTGAATAAGTTAATAGGAGTACTTTCTTCTTTATACCATCTGAACTATCAGGGCACATTAATATCATATCCTACTGCCAAGGTCATTCGTTCTTACTTCTTTTTTTTAAGTAGGTCAATTTCTCCACATGAATTTGTGGGACCCAAGAAAAAGAATTTCCCATCAATCCCCTGGAGACCCCGCCCCGCCACACCGGGCGCCCCCTGCTGCCCGCCGCTGGAGCCCGCGGCCCTTCGCCACACCCCCCAGTTTCTGTCGGCTCACAGGGAGGTGCTCGTCCCTTTAATTGGCATGTACCAAGTCCTTCCAGATTACGTTTCCTCCCCCAGTCCTAGACGTCCGGAATCCTCAGTCGAGGATCCCACAGGAGAGAATGTGGAGACGGCGTTGTGAGTGGCGGGAGCTGCGGGCCGCAGGGCGGTAGGAGAGGCCCGGGGCCGACGCGCGCGGGCGCGGCCCTCCCCCCCTCGCGCCGTGGTCCAGTCCCAAGATGGCGGCCACCATGAAGAAGGCGGTGAGTGGGGCGCTCGCGGGGCGGATGCTCGGGCGGCGGGCGCGGCGGGCTGCCGAGGGGCCGGGCGAGCGGTGCCCGGGTGCCCATCCCCGAGGCCCGGCGTGGGGCCCGGGGCCGAGACCCCCGGCCCTGAGCACGGCCCCGCGGCGACGCCTGCCGGCACCCGGTCTCTCCTGAACGCGTGTCTGGCGACCCTGCGGCCCGCGCGTGTGTTTGGGGCGTGGGAAGCCCAGGGTCCGTCGGCCATAACGCCGGGCGCTTCACCTGGGTTGTCCCAGTTAATCCGCCCGGGTTCACACGTGTAGGTAGCGGTGTCGCCCCATGCAGGGGAGGAAGCTGAGGCCAAGGTAGGTGGAGTCACCTGGCCCAGGTTGCGCGGCGGTGGGGAGCAGAGCAGGCCCCTGCCTCCGGGGTGGTCCGGTCCCGGAGCCCCGGCTCCAGCCGGGATGCCACCGCGGTGGTTATCCCCGACCCTCCCCTCCGCCTCGGGCTCCCAGGGACGCAGGTGCCTCCGCAGAGCGGGAGAGCGAAGGAAGCAAGTTCTCATGTGGTCCTGGGTGCGGGATGAGAGCAAGCAGGCACCAGACCTCGGGAAGCAAGTCCCCGCAGCCGGGGACTGCCGTCAGGCGCCGTGGAAGTTCAGGACCGAGGCTCTGCAGCCACAGCGCCCGGGTTTACCGAGATCGTGGCGGCGCCTCCGAGCTCCCACTTCCTCGTCTGTAGAATAAGGATAAAAGCAGTGTCTCCGTGAAAGGGATATAAGATTAAAATTAAAGGGATATAAGATTAATGCAAAACGCGTAGAACCGTACCTGGCACACAGTAAAGCCTCCATAATTATCAGCTGGCATTACTTCCTCGCCCCACATAGTTTTCTTCTTAAAGAAGAAAAATAGGTAGACTCACAGGATTATAAACCCCAAATAGGAGTTTAGCTTGCTTACTGCGACAAAAGGTGTGCTTTGGGAAGACAAAACAAAACAAAATAATAAAGCCTGAGTTTGAATTCCAGCTCTGCTTCTTACAAGCTGAGTCACTCGCAGGCCACTAACCGCGGTGTGTCTAAGTTTGGGCATGTTACACGTGGGGATCCCCGCCCCCACCAGCACCCTGGTGTGGGGGGCAACCGGGATGAGTGCTCCCTCTCTTGGTGTGTTGTCTACAAATTCTTCTTGAGGGTCAGAGTCAGGTTCAGGGCCCCTGTTCATGTAGGCAACCTGACACTTGGTGCAATTCACTTTACCTCTGATTTTGTATTTAAATTGGGTCCTCTGTCGTTCGCTCTGGCCTTTAATTCCATGGCAGATACTAGTTTGTGGTCCCCCCAATCCCCCATCCCCCCATTTGACAGGCGTGCAAACCGCAGTGAAGAGAGATGAAGTCAGTGTTGTGGAAATGGTAGAGGAAGGATTTGAACCCTGGACTTTGCAAAAATTTTTTTTAAAGATTTTATTTGTTTTTAGAGAGGGAAGGGAAGGAGAGAGAGACAGACATCAATGTGTGGTTGCTGGGCGCTGTGGCCTGCAACTCAGGCATGTGCCCTGACTGGGAATGGAACCCGCGATGGCTGGTTCGCAGCCCAAGCTCAATCCACTGAGCTATGACAGCCAGGGCTTTTTTTTTTTTTTTTTAAAGATTTTATTTACAAAATTTTTGATCTCTGATATTTTTTCCTTTCCTTCCTTCAACAAGCTGTGTGAGCACGTCATGTGACCCGGTCTCAGTTGTGCGGGGTGGAGAGGGCAGGGGTCCGCAGGGACGCAGGGCCTACTCCCTTACCCTCATGGCATTGGACCTTTTGCTCTGGGGGAGAGACAGGTGTTCATCGAAGGCTCATGCGGAAAACTAAAGTTTCCAGCCCCGAGGAGAACTAAGAAAGAAAGGTGCTCGTGAAGTGAAGGCAGTTTCGTGATCAGAGAAGGCGCGATCTGGTGGATCACGTGAGGAGGGGAAGGGACAGTTGGAGCAGAGGCAGTGTAGCTCGGGAGTTTCTCCTGCCAACGCCCCGAGGGCCTTGAGTAAGCAGAACATCAGCGTGGCAGAGACTCGGCGCGGCAAGGCCGGCCTGATGGGTACAACAGCCTCTCCCAGCCGTTCCCACTGCCCTGAGCGGGGTCTGGTAGGTTTCCGGCCTGTGCGCTTTTCCGTCCGCTCCTCCGTGGGAGCCTCTAGGCCGGCCGGTGCCCGCCTTGAGAGGGGATCCCACGGGGTCATTAGCCCTTAGAGGTTCCCACGAGCTGTTTGCAGTCTGCATACTTCACGCTCGTGACATAGTGTTGTCTCCCAGCATGTCCTGACGTTTCTGGTGAGGGTGTTTAGATGAGATGGTTCAGCCCCCTCATCTCCAAAGTTCTGCTTTCTAAGACCTGCGTCGTGGCCCTGCGGGGGACTCCAGTCTGCTACCTGTCCGTGCTCCCTCCTCGGAGAAGGCCCCGCAGCCCTGGCCGCGAGGCTCAGTTGCTTGCGGCATTGCCCCATACACTGAAAGGGTGAGGTGTCGGTCCCCAGCGAGGGCGCATGCCTACCTAGGTTGCCGGTTCAATCCCTGGTCGGGGTACGTACAGGAGGCGACCGGCCAGTCGAGGAGTTTCATAACAATGTTTCTCTCTCCTCTGTCCCTCCTTCTCCCTTTCCCTTCCTCTCTCTCAAATCAATAAAGATGCCCCCTTCACTCCCTAGCCCCCCAACACTTTGAACCCCTTAAGTATTTCACTTTCACCATCACGTGTATCGCCATCTGGCAGAAAACCTTGTTTTGGGCGCCCCTCCTCCGCCACGGCGTACGCTTGCCGGTGTTCTCGGCGGCGGGACTGTGGCTCGGTTTCACTGTGCGCGGCACGTCGGGGACACGTACTGAATAATTATCGAACGGATGCATGCACGAAAGGGGAGTAAAAACACAAAGCATAGTTTTATATCACAGGTTTGGTAGATCCCTTTAAAAAAGAAAAATGAAAGCAGACTGCAGTTGGCCAGTTTCCGTCTCCCAGGTGCTCACGGCTTCGTGAGCTGTGGCAGCCACGTCTGGCTTTTCCCAAAGCAGGAGCCCCTGGCCTTTGAGGGGTGGGTCCCTTTAAAACTCTTGATGAAAGCTATGAAGACCCTTCCAGAATGCACGTACAATACATGCCATTTTGCACACAGTTTCAGGGGGTAAAGGGACCTCTCAGTGTTCACAACCCCCCCCCCCACTTAAGAATGAAGCCTTCCTGCCAAAACGAAGCTTTTAGCAATGGGGGAACGTTCTAGATCAGCGAGACCGGAGGGGAAGCCACTGCTGTTAGTCGTGGAAGGTGCCGTCTCCTCCCTGTCTGCTGCCGACAGCACCCCCCTGGGTGGCAGGTGGTTTACCCCTCGGGGATTGGCCGGCCTCCCATACCAACTTCAGCCCCAACCCCAGTGGGAAGACCACCGTTAAGGAAATGAACTCCAGGGCCCGAGTGTGTGCAGGGGGCTGCCGTGGGCGCAGCTGCCCCAGGAAACGCCTGCTTTGGGAGGATGGAAAGCAGGGGCCGAATTCTCCGCAACTTTCCGGGAACAGTGTGCGTGTGTGTGCGCGATCGAGTGCGGTTCAGTTTCAAATCCCAAAGCCCGGCCTTGAGCCCTGGTTGTGTGTCTGGGAGGCCCTGCGCTAGGTGCGTTCCTGTGGGTCCTCCCCCGCCCCCCCCCCGCCCCCAAAGCCTCCTGCTGACAAAAGCCTGTGCGGATACATAGGCAGGTGTTCAGGGCTCAGTGTTTGCACTCCGCAGGCAAGCGGGAACTCCGGAATTCTGTGTCCCCCGTTCGCCTAGGGAATCGGCGTTCTCCTGTAGCAAAGTGACTGGAATGCCGGGATCACCTTCCTGAGAACTTGCCTTTGCTTTCTGTGGCGTAGGTCGGTGTTCACCAGCTTCCATGCTCGTAAAAATTGTGCGCAGGGCTGAACATTCAGAGCTACGCGTAGCTCGCTGCAAGGATGTCCACGCGGTCCTCGGGGCCTCTGGTGATGGGCCTGGTGCGCATGGAACTGTCTCCGGGCCGATGGGAGCCGGGGGCGGGCGAGGGCTCACTTCTGGGTGTCTGCCTTTGTATTCCGACCACCGAGCTCCGTGGCTCGAGACAACAGGCTGCTTTCCAGCCTCTGGAGAAGTGAATCTCAGGGTACGTACCTCGCGGTACTGGTCCTGCGAAACCAGGCGAAGAGGAGGGGGTTATTGGGAATGGTCACCGTTGATGGTAGTCCCTGTCAAACCAGGTACGTCTTTCCTCCCCTGAGTACAGCCAGGTGAGGGAAGCTAAGGAGATCTGGTATTCCACTTTTTTGCAGGCTGCGGAAGATGTCAATGTTACGTTTGAAGATCAACAGAAGATAAACAAATTTGCACGGAATACAAGTAGAATCACGGAGCTGAAGGAAGAAATAGACGTCAAAAAGGTATTGAAAATATGTGCCCCATTTAAGAAAAATAAAAGCTCTTTGTGCGCTAGCATTTGAGAGTTGGGTTCGATGACTTGGGGTCTCTCTGGACGCCCGTGCAGACGGCATGATCTGCCCGAGGTTAAGGAGGACCTTGCTTAGGGGTGCGAGCTGACGTACGGGTCGCGGGGTGCTGGGGCTCGAGGCTGAGGTTCTGGCAGCAGGTCCCACAGCTGCGTCTTGGGGACCCAGGCTGGCACTGCCCGTCCCCACGGCCAGCTGCCCCTTCCCCGAGAGGGAGCCGCCCCTCAGCCCGAGGACACCGGCCTGCCCCACGCCGGCCCCTGTAAACTGCTGGCCTCGCCCCCGGCCTCTGCGCACACGGCAACCCTGAGCTCAAGTCCAGCCAAGTGCATCTGATTGGTGGGACTTAAATGACTAGTCGCTTCCCTCCTATCACGGAGCCCGGCTGGGACATTACTTCTCCCATAGGGGGGCGGAACTCACAAGGTGGGAGCTGTTAAAGTCGGAGACGCGCGGAGTGGCCACGCTGTCCACGGCAGCGTGCTTGTAGCAACCTGGACACACCCAGAGATCAGCGTGTTAAGTCTTGCGTGCTTCCTTATGAAGTCGCCTAAAAACGCAAGGAACGTCTCGTTTGGGTGTGGTGATACCTTGGTGAGGGGTCCCTCCAGGAGGAGGCGTCCCTCCTGGAGGAGGCGTCCCCACGTTAACACGGGCCGTTAGCCTCTGTCGGGAACGCGGGACACACGTTCCGCTGCTCTTCACTTGTGCGTTTGCAGAAACAACTGCAGAACCTGGAAGACGCCTGCGAGGACGTCATGCTGGCCGACGACGACTGCCCGATGATACCCTATCAGATCGGCGACGTCTTCATTAGCCACTCGCAAGAAGAGACACAAGAAATGCTAGAGGAAGCGAAGGTGTGTTGCGGTCTTTCCCTGGGCGTTGCAGTCTAACTCTTACGTTGGCATTCGTGTCGTTCTAGACGGCACGTGGGTGTGGGGAAAGTCATGGATGCTAGGTAATGTTTCGTGGGTTTTAGAGTGACCCGCGCGTGCGTGGAATGCTCTGCGGGTGTGATTTGATTGAGTCCTAGCGAAGACTCCGTGAGGCAGGAACTGTTAACCCCAGCTAGAGCGGAAGACAGGGGCTTGAGAGGTCTGGGGCTTACTCAAAGCGGCGGAGGCGGAGGACCGTGTGCCCCAGTACCCGTGCCCCAAACTGCGGTGCTGAGGCAGTGTAGAGCACTAGGAAGCGGAAAGGAAAAGTCACCCATGACCCCATGCCCAGAGATAATCATAGTCATGGACGTTTTCTCGTGTTTATTTTCTGTTCTCTCCTCTTTTCTGCCCGTTTGCTTCCCTTTTGGTCCGTTGACGCCCTAGTGGTGCTCTCCCCTTCCACAGAACGTTGAGCACCCAGCAGACCCTCCCTGGGGGCCGCTCTGGGCCGGGCACGCGCACTTTCAAAACGTCCTTTTGGCAGGCTGGTGACGGTCGACTTGGTGGGCAGGGGTTCAGCTCCCTGCCTCCCGACGTCGTCATCCACACGTTTCCCGCTTCCCTGAAGTGGGTCTCCAGTGGTGTTTGGAGACGGCGTCTTGGCGCACGTCCAGGACGTTCTTGGAGGAAGTAGCCTGCGCAGCGTGGCTGCGGGTCCGGGTGCGGGCGCGCCGACTGCGCCGGAGGAGGCACCGGGGCAGGGTGTGAGCTTAGCCTCGGGGTCGGGGTCCCCGGGTCTCTGTGCGAGGGGCGGCCGCGGTGTGCTTGGGGAGCCCAGGGCGGTCAGGTATCTTCTGATCCTTTTGAAAGTCTCTTAAATGCTTGAACATTATTTAAAGTGTTCGTCTCCCTTTAAATGTCGTGAAAGGAAGACTTCTCGGGAGTGAAACCCACATTTAATAAGCGCTGGGAAGAACTAACACCTTTACTCCTGGATCCTTCCATGCAGAAACATTGCATGTCTCCTCTTCTGCTTAAATCTTTTCTTTCATAGTGAAACGCTGTAATTTTGGTTTTCTTTTTAACCACCCTAAAATACTCTTCTTGGAAGCATTTCAAGATAGGTTTCTGCCACTATTGTGAATGCCCCCCACCCCCCTCCCCATCCCCACATAGATATTGAACCTTTATTTTGCATTTCATTCCTTTGTTCTTTTACTGGTTCCCTCCCTCCTTCCCTCCCTCCCTCCCCCCTTCCAGAAGGGTCCGTGGCGTGTGTGCTGTGGTGCTCTGTGTCGGTTCGACCCCGTAGCAGGGGTGCGGACAAAGCCACGCCCGCCCTGCCCACGCAGCACGCACCGCCCACACGGGAAGGCCTGGTGGTTCTCAAACCTTTCTGCCACGTGTTGACTCGGAGTTGTTCTTCTGTATTATTGGGGGTGGTGTGAGTTTCCGTCCTGGCCTCTGGTTTCGTGGTCGTGTCTGTGGGCAGTGGGCAGAGGCCGTGGCAGCAGCCCCTGCCTGTGATGAGCCGTTTACCGGGGAGTGTGTACGCATGGTGCTTTCATTATTAGCACGCGGGCATTTAGAAGTTCATTTTCTTTTATCTGTTGTGTTTCTGAAGTCAGCACAAACTGAGGAAACACGCTTGATTTATCTTATAATGAACGAATATATACCCGGAATTAAAAATGCGCATGTGTGGACTCTCGGCTGAGACCCGACTGTCAGTGTCACGTAGCGGCCTGCCCACGTCCAGAGAGCCCTTGGGCCAGAGGGCCCGCCCAAACCCGTTTTCCGCCAAGGGGTTCCGAAGCCATCCAGCTGAATAGAATTAACTGAAACATTTTTTTTTTCCAGAAAAATTTGCAAGAAGAAATTGACGCCTTAGAATCCAGAGTGGAATCCATTCAGCGGGTGTTAGCGGACTTGAAAGTTCAGTTATATGCAAAGTTTGGAAGCAACATAAACCTTGAAGCTGATGAAAGCTAAACATTTTATAATACTTTAAAAACTTTGTTTAATAAACTTAAATATTGTTTAAATGATAATTTCCCTTCTTCAAACGATAAGGAAATCAAATTTTCTTTTTTTAAAAAAATTTTCATTTATTTAATGGAGACTTGCCTATTTTCACATGTCTTGCTTATTTATTTTATATTTTTAAAAGAAGACAGTATTCATCTATGTATTTTACATAACAATGATATCAAGTGTAGGGGCTCTATGTCATGTTATTAAAATCAGTTAAGCAAGCCTTTATGTTTCTATATTATCATTTAGAACACCTGTTGCAACCTGGATCAGAAAACCTAACAGGTGGGTCACGCTGCTTGTGTTCATTCCAGCTGCTGTTTAGAGACGGCGAAAAGACTCCGGAAACATCTAATCCTCCATCCGTCTGCTGCGCCGCTTTCACACCGAACCCTTTCTCATGTACCAAAAAATATGTGTACATTCTGTGTAAATACATGCAATATATATTATTATCTAAACATACAGATTTCACTTATTTCTCACATCTGTATCAGTCTCATGGGTCTTTGGAAAAGAACTGGCTAATGCTGAGACTTGTTGGGCTTCATACAAACACAGAGCAGAACAACAGAAGAATATTCTAGAAACCAAGAGATGTATCAATGGAAATGTTTAGTGGTTTTTTTAAAAAGTATATTTCAGACTTTATTTTAGTGCTTTGTAATTAATTGGGGTTTATGTCGATAACGATGTGGAAGTAAAGCAGCTGTGTATTTAAAAATAAGGCTTTTTTCTTAAATAAAGAGTACATTTACCCCTCAATGCCCCCCAAAAGACGTATGTGTTGGGATTTGGCAAACCTAATGGTGCATTAACTTCCCAGCAGATGGCACTGATATGCTAAAACACCAACGGAAGACCATAACACGAAAAGGAGGATAATTCTGGGATTAAATAGGCATAGTTTTGAGAGGAAATGCCATTTTTTAAAAATCTGCAAGACTAAGCATTGCATATTGTCTGTTTTTTTAAATTAAATGTTTAGAAATAGTTCAGGCAGAAAGATAGACTATATAATTCTAAAATTCTTCATGACATAAAAGTGAATTCTTTAAATCGCTGCAAAATATTCCCAAATAGTGATATTCAAGTTTTAGAAAACGAACTCTTGAAAGGATGTTTTTCCTTGCGTGCATCTGGCCAGCGTTCTGTTAGCGGAGTGGGACTGGGGCCCTGTATCGGTCAGGTTGTAGCAGGAAATAGATAACGCCCTTAAGTTAGCAGAATTTCAGGAACCTTCAGCCCAGATTACAAAGGCCGGCAGGGAACAGCCACACCCTCCCCGCTGGAGCCCAGGACACGGGGCAGGGACACAGCCCGCGACACCCCGGCGGTGATCCAGCCAGGAGAGCGGGCCCTCTGACCTCCTTTCTCCAGCGCCCTGCTGCCGTCCACCCCGTGGCCAGATCCCACCGGGATGTGGGTGGAGTCCGTGAGGGGCAGTCTCTCGTGGGGCCCCACGAAGGGGTGGGGAGCAGGTGAGCCTAAGGGCCCAGTGGGAGAGCTGGCTGAACCCTTCACTGATTTTCAAGTGAAGGCTCACCTGGCTGACGTGTCAGAAACGGAACCACTGAATCGTATGACTGGCTGGGCCCTAAGATTGCATCAGCGTATCGGCAAGTAAGCCGAAATACAAGAAAACAAACGGGAGGAGGAATATATGATACATTGTCGCTAACTTTACACCTTGTTTCCCTTAATGTACCTGTGACATTCTAGGGCATCGGAAATACGCTTCCCATTTAAAATTTATTTCTAACGTCTCTCTAAGCCCTTCCCTTATTTTTGTTGGTAGTAGTTTTCCTGGGTTGGTGACGACCAGTAAACAGCGTTTGAAGAGGTGACTAATACTCAGCGCCAGCCGGGTGTTGCCACCATGAATTTTTTTTGTACAGGAATCCTGGTGTTTAGGTATAGTCACTATTTTTAGTGCAGCCATGTGTTTTAAGCAATGCCAGCCAAACCAAAGGTCTTCGTAGAACACCTTTGACCGTGAGGCTGCCGGCTGGCAAGCTCAGGTGCACAATTTGCTCCATCTTCTCCAGGCTTCCCATCCCGAGGCTTGAGCCGCCTGTGCGCTTCCTGTCCGCCCCCATGACCTCCATGCGAAAGGGGATTGGGGAGGGAGGACGTGCCGTCTGGGACAGAGTTTCCATGGCTGGAGGCCAGGGGTGTCTCCGGAGGGCACCTTCTGTTCACCACCCAAAGTCAAGTCCCCACCTGTCCCCGTTTATGCCCCTTTACCCTCCTCCACCTGCCCCCACCCTTCCCTCTGGCAATCCCCGTACTGTGGTCTGTATCTGCGAGTCTGCCTCTATGTTGTTAATTTAGTTCATCAGGTTCCACACAGAAGTGAGATCATACAGTATTACGGTATTTGCCTTTCTCCGACTGGCTTATTTCACTGAGCGTAATAGACACCAGTGTTTTAACGAGCCCCTCCAGCTGATTCCCATTCAGCTAAGGAATGAGCCTGACTCAGGAATTCTGTCTGTTTGGGGGTCTGGGAAGAGACCAAACACCACCCGAGAACTCTTAGCACAGAGTTACGCAAAATGATGAGAAGAGTAACAAGATACCCAGCTCGGGGTGGCGGTTGGCCAGAGGGGTCCTGGTCGCTTAGCGCAGACACATGATAAAGGATTAAGTAGTGGGCGATGGGAGATTCGGAGCAAAAGCGAAAAGCGTATTACAAGGAAGTTAACAGTGGCGGGGAGGAGACGGACTGTTGTTTAACGCCATCGCAAGAGACGCAAGGTCTCGGTTGTTTTTATGCTGAGATCACGGGATACACGAGTCCGTGGGGGAGCCGATGGGAAGGGCCCGGGGAGGAAGGTGACCATCAAGGTGGGACACGGGAGACCGTGGAGCCCGGCAAGGGGAGGGTCTGGGCGGAGGAGAAGGAGGGCATGGAGCTTGTACTCACAGCATACCGGCAAACACAAAGTTAGCACAAACTCTAGCCTGAGGAACAAATGATAGAAAAAAAATCAGAACAGTCCTGAGCTCTGGAGCCGGGAGAGGGTGCAGTGGAGGGGCAGAGACAGGAGGCTGGGTGGTGGGGGCGGAGCTCTCTGCTTTCAGTGTCCTGCCTTCGACACCCTGTTCGTGTGTGACGTCATTCACCACGACAACGGACACAGTTGTTACGGAATTCTGTTAGTTACGGCACAAACGCAAACTGGGAAGCAGTGCACATTGTGAGGTTGTTACCGATAGCTTGCTGCATCCCTTTAATATTTTTGTGTGTCATGCGACGTAAAATGCCGTTGTGTCTCTCCATGGTGGAAGGCAGAGAAACAGCAACACCCCAACACAACCCTTTATTAGAGATCACACACACACACACACACACGTGCACACACACACACACACACATCTGTGGACTGGGCAGGATTTGAAAGTTGGCTTCAAGGTCTGGAGAAGAATAATTAGAGCTTGTGTGTGCATCTCTACTTCCCGGCGACCAGTTCTCTGGAAAAGCCTCCATTCCGATACACGGGAATGATTCCAACGGTTGCAGCACCGAGGTCGGGCGTGGAGCCCTGTTGTGTGCCGGCACCGTCCGGAGCGCTTCTGATGCGTCCGTTCTTCCTTTCTCACAAACCCCTTTGCCGTGGGTTCTGGGATCGCCCCTCTTTGTTCAGATGGGGGGAAAGGCTTGGAGAGGTGAGACAATTGTTCCTCGTCGTAGAGCTTGCTGAGCGAACAGGCCGTCCGTCAATGCCCAGACCGCACTTGGGAAACTGATTTTGTTTGCTGATTGCATTCTTGTCTGTATACTTACCCAAAAGAATTTCAGATAGCTTCTCAAATATAAATGGATAGGTGTATATACGCAAAATCTGACTATCACGTTGACAGAATAAGGGGAAAGGAAAAGAATAGAAATGAGTAAAAAAAGGGAAAGTAAGTAAATTGGCCATAGAATCCATGTTAGATTAATATCCTTCCAGCTCCTGATTAGCTAAGGCAAAGAAAGAAAAATGATGAATAATACCACGTTAGAGTGGAATACACCAGCATCTCAGGAGGAAAAAAAAACGTTTTTTCAGAAGATTAAACCCTGAACAAAAGGTTTCTCCCATTGGCATTGCCTTGGAGCAATGAAACAGGTATTAACCTCAGCACCTGCTGCAGAGCAGAGGCATGAGCAGAATTCACACGACCGGTTCTTGTAGCGATTTAACACGTCGCCCTAATCCCGTGGCTGTGAATCACACAGAGGCTGATCCTGACTGGCCGACATCCGTATAGCTGATCCAGTCCTCACCTCCCTGTAAGGTACAGGATGCTATTAGCACCGTTTCCATTTCACAGAGGAGGCAATGAAGGTCAGGAGAAGTGAAGGTCCTGCTCAGGGCTCCACGGTCCTCGGGCAGAGCCTGGACCCGAACCTGAGCACACCTGTGCACCCAGCCACCCCACTGCAGTACTGATATGCGGGTGTGGAAGCTTCTAGCAACCCTGAGAGATCCAAGCAGCCCACAGTACCGAGTTGGCCAAAAAATCCATATGTTTTTTTCCATAATATAAAAGACACATTTTTCACTTTCACCAATAACTTTATTTATTTGGATATTTTGAGTATGTCGGCTATCTCCCGCTATAGGCTTCTAGTGGGTAGAGGCCAGGGGTGCTGCTAAATGTCTCCCAATGCAGAAGACAGTCCCACAGCAGAGAATTATTTGGCCAAAATGTCAATAGTAACCAAGAAACTTCGCGAACCACTTTTGACAAGTTCCATCAGTCACGGCACCTTCTCCATACACTGCACGAATCTTTTCTGTGTGTTTCAGTTTCGTTTTTACCTTTCTTGAAATAATAAGGAATGACACCCTGGAAATGTTGTGTATCTTCTTCCATCTTTAATATTAAAATGGCTGCAAAAAATTCATCAATTTTGATGAGCTGTTAAAAAATGCATGCAGATAGGACATCTGTCACAATGCAATGTAACGACATTGTTTTGAGTGAAGTTAAAGACCACTAAATGCTACTAGAGCCATCGAGTAGAAAAAACATAATGGACTTTTTGGACACCCCAATAAC